TCTGATTGCTATTCTGGAGTACGAAGTATGACCCGTGCCAATTGATAAATAACGATAACAATGAGTTGCCAATGACTCATGCGTAGGATAAGCATAATTCTTTCATGACACCATTTTTCCTCTTGATCCGTAAGCAACCATTTTTTTTATTATGACAAAAGTGTACGCTACAAGTGCATAATTCTGAGGCATGAAAGGAAAAATGAGCCAAAAATAAAATGTGAAGTGCAAGAAAAATGAAAGCAGGCTGTGCAATGTTTCATCAATAAAATACTTTGTCCAATATATCTGAAACCATAAGTGTAAACTACTCTGTACAAAAGCAGAAGACATTAAGAAAACACGAAGGAAAGAAATGAATAATGCTATGCAACAAGCAGTTCGCATGGAAGTCGGTCATTACCATCTTTTGTTGAGACTTGTTGTTCAAAATCAACAAATAATGTGTATGGAATAAAAAAAGATGGAAGTTGGCATGAAAAATCAAAGCATGGCCGCAAGTACAAACCATGCGACCATATGGTGTATTTAGCCATGCTGTCGCATGGCCATATACCGAGACCAAAAAGTCTTAGCTTGAATAAACAGGATCTATACATCTCGATCAGAAAAGAATCAAGAGACCCTGCGATCACATGAATTTGTACCACAAAAATCTGACCGTTGAAGGTCGATTTTTGGCCATTGCAAGTTTGAATTTCGTGACTTTTCTTGCATGTTTTGGCTCCTATCATGGCACTTATATAGAGGAGCCATGTTCAAGGGTAAAAAATAAGAAAAACACACGATATTCATTCCAATTCAACAATCAAATATCAAACTCTTGCTCTTCATTCATATTCATTCATTGTGTTCTTGAATTTTTGGAGGATTTTACTTTGTACTTTAGTAAAATCATTTACAATGTTTGTTGTAATCCTTTAAACCATTTGTTGGAATATCCTTAAGCATCTCATAAACTCCGGAGAAGAGGCAAATAACGTTTGAAGACTGGGATTCATATTTTCTTCATCCCGTTGCTGCGATTCTTGTCCCATTCCTTTTGTCTTTCCTTCTTCCCTCCGTTATTTCCAACAATCTCAAATGTTATTTGACAATGGAGAGAAAGACAACAATGGCAATAATCAAACTCATGAACCAAGACTTAGTGCGATTGGATCAATTCGATGGCACGAACTTCACGCGATGGCAAGACAAGTTGAAGTTTCTCCTTACTGCATTGAAGATCTTTTACATTCTCGATCTGAATTTGACACTGTTAGCAGAACCCACAAATGGAAAAACCGAAGCAATCAAGGTAGAAATGCCAAGAAGACGAATTAATTTGCCGCGGTCATATACTCAATGCGCTGTCAGATCACTTATATGATTTATACACCAACACCTCTTTGGCGAAAGAAATCTAGAATGCATTGGAAAGTAAGTACAAAGCAAAAGAGGAATGTAACAAGAAATTTCTATTTTAACACTTATGCACCGGTAGCTAGAATAACATCGATTAAGATATTAATCGCTTTAGCTTCGATGCATGACTTGCATGTTCATCAAATTGATGTCAAGACGACATTCTTGAATGGGAATCTAAATGAGGAGATCTATATTGAACAACCTAAAGGGTTTGTTCTACCTGAAAACGAACATAAGGTGTGCAAGTTGGTAAAATTGTTATACAGTCTGAAGCATGCACCTAAGAAATGGCGTGAAAATTTTGACTTAGCAATTATATCATTCGATTTTAAACAAAGTAGCATAGACAGATGCTTATATTCTAGAGTATATGGTAATTATATGACATTTATATGCTTATATGTTGAAGACATGTTGATTATAAGTAATCACATAGACGGTATAGAAAAAATGAAGAGGTTTCTGTCTTCCACATTCAAAAAGAAGGACATCGGATAGGTAGATACAATTTTAGGTATCAAAGTCACAAAGACTAGTAAGGGTTACCATCTTAATCAATCATATTATATTGAGAATATAATAAATAAGTTCTGACATTTGAATATAAATAATGTAGTATCCCGATTGATCCAAGTTGAAAACTTGTAAAGAATGATAGAAAGGCGATCGTTCAACTTGAATATTCTAGTGTTATAGGGAGTCCTATGTATGCAGTTCAATGCACAAAGCTGGATATAGCCTATGCAATTAGTAAACTTAGTAGATTTACTAGCAATCCAGCCAATGATCATTGGAAGGCCATTGGAGAGTTCTTAGATACTTAAAGAAAATAAAAAACTTTGGCCTGCAATATACTAAGTTCCCGACGATATTGGAAGGGTTCATCAATGTTAGTTGAATTTATAGTTCGGGTAAAAGTAAATCTACCTCGAGTTAGATGTCCACTCTTGGAGGAGGTGCTGTTTCATGGAATCAAAGAAATAAACATGTATAATACACTCAATCATGGAATCTGAATTTGTAGCACTATCGAAAACTGGAAAAGAGGTTGAGTGGCTTAAGGATCTCTTTTACGAAATACCTTTGGGATCGAAGAATATCTCTTTAATACCTATTGTGTGTGATAGTCAAGCCATTTTAGCAAAAGCAAATAATAGAAAGTCTAGATATATGAGTCTTAGACATGACTTAAATTAATGAAAAATGGAATAATCTCCCTAAATTACATAAAGTCAATTGAGAATTTAGTGGATCCTTTAACTAAATCTCTAAATAGAGATTTAGTGATGTCTACTTCAAGATGATGGGGTTGAAACTCTTTAACTAAAAATGTCCATCGATGACAACAACCTTACCTATCACTACTCAAAATGTAATCCACGAGTTCAAAGAATAACAACGAGTCATTTGATATATGGATAGTTGCAGCATTATTCAAATTCGCAGTGACCATATCCTAGTTAAAATCATGCTAGTTGTTACTAAAGTGGGGATTGAGCTTTAAGCTCTTAATAAAGTTCAGTGATAAAACATAAGTACATCTAAAAGTAACAAATGTACTAGACGAATTTCACCTAGACAAAAACTATAGGTGGTGCCGCCTCAATTAAGAGTTGGAGTTTCTCTCTTAAAAGTTTGTTGAAAAGAATAAGCACAATGTCATAATAGTGCTAAGCGAGTTATGAGAAATTTGATAACACGTGGTACTCGTGTGTGTGTTCTTACTGGTATTGTCACATAGAATAACTGGTTCAAAGTTTCATGCTACCTTTGATTTTGATTTTACCTTGTATGAATTACACTATAGTTAGATTCAAATCGAAAGATATCTAGTCCTTATATATGAGTATCGTATAATTTGGATATGAGACATTGCCAATCTTGAACAAGTTGGGGATTGTTGAGATTTGCTGTTCAAAATCAACAAATAATGTGTATGGAATAGGAAGTTGGCATGAAAAATCAAAGCATGGCAGCAAGTACAAACCATGTGACCGCATGGTGTATTTAGCCATGCGGTTGCATGGCCATATACCAAGGCCAAAAGTCCTCGGATTGTATAAGCTCTTAATAAAGTTCAGTGATAAAACATAAGTACCTCTAAAAGTAACAAATGTACTGGAAGAATTTCACCTAGAAAAACTATAGGTGGTGCCTCCTCAATTGAGAGTTGAAGTTTTTCTCTTAAAAGTTTGTTGAAAAGAATAAGCACAATATCATGATAGCGCTAAGCGAGTTATGAGAAATTTGATAACACGTGGTACTCGTGTGTGTGTGTGTTATTACTGGTATTGTCACATAAAATAACTGGTTCAAAATTTCATGCAACCTTTGATTTCGATTTTACCTTGAATGAATTACAATATAGTTAGATTCAAATCGAAAGATGTCTAGTCTTTATGTATGAGTATCGTATACTTTGGATATGAGACATTGCTAATTTTGAACAAGTAGGGGATTGTTGAAATTTATTGTTCAAAATCAACAAATAATGTGTATGGAATAAAAAAGATAGAAATTGGCATGAAAAATCAAAGCATGGCCGCAAGTACAAACCATCTGACCGCGTGGTGTATTTAGCCATGCGGTTGCATGACTATATACCGAGGCCAAAAGACCTCGACTTGTATAAGTTCTTAATAAAGTTCAGTGATAAAACACAAGTATCTCTAAAAGTAACAAATGTACTGGAAGAATTTCACCTAAACAAACTATAGGTGGTGCCGCCTCAATTAAGAGTTGGAAATTCTCTCTTAAAAGTTTGTTGAAAAGAATAATAACAAGGTCATAATAGCGCTAAGCGAGTTATGAGAAATTTGAGAACACGTGGTATTCGTGTGTGTGTTCTAACTGGTATTGTCACATAGAATAACTAGTTCAAAGTTTCATGCTATCTTTGATTTTGATTTTACCTTGAATGAATTACAATATAGTTATATTCAAATCGGAAGATATCTAGTCTTTATGTATGAGTATCGTATACTTTGGATATGAGACATTGCTAATTTTGAACAAGTGGGGGATTGTTGAGATTTGTTGTTCAAAATCAACAAATAGAAAGAATTACAGGAGAAGGGTTTGGTCAATGTACCAAACCTGTTGCATAACATGTATTATATAGAAGCTGTTGAGACATATAATTGGTAGTCTAATCTATGCATCGAAGGATAAATAAAAAAGAAAAGATATCAATCAACTACAGGAATAATGCTGGAATTTCTATCTTGGCTTATCAATCACAACACAATTAGTGTGATTTGCATAATTAAGGGGATATGATTTGTCTGGCTTAACACCCCCCTCAAACGAATGGGGAGATCACAAACCATGAGTTTGTCTCTTAGGAACTGGAACCGAGAGAAGGACAGGCCCTTTGTGAAAATATACGCAACCTGATCTATTGTAGGGATATAATGAGTACAGACATCCTTGTTCAATATCTTTACTAGAATAAAATGAAAATCCACCTCGATGTGTTTAGTGCGAGCATGATAAACTAGATTGGCAGCAAGGGCAATTGCACTTTGATTGTCACACCAAATGACATGAGGGAAGAGAAGAGGCACATGAAGGTCTTTAAGGAGCATTCGAAGCTAATAGAGTTCCGCAACAACCATAGCCAAAGCCCTGTATTGAGATTCAGTACTGGAGCGAGAAACCACACCTTGCTTCTTTGCACACCATGATATCAAACACGGACCCAAAAATATTCCGTAGCCAGCAGTTGATCGTCTGTCGCTAGGATCTCCCACCCAGTCAGAATCACAGTAGGCATGAAGTTTTAGGGAACCTTTGTAGAAATATAGGCCATGATCTATAGTACCCTTGAGATAGCGCAAGACTCTTTTGGCTGACTTCCAATGAAAAGTAGTGGGAGAGTGCAGATGTTGACATAATTGATTCACGGAGTATGCAATCTCAGGTCAAGTTAAAGTACAATATTGGAGTGCACTAACCAATTGCCTGTAACCATTAATATCCTCAACGGGCTCATTGTCTATTGTAGATAATTTTCCTCCTGAGACATATGGAGCTGGGTAGGGCTTCACACCAACCATCCTGAAGCGATAAAGAATATTAAGTATATATTTACTTTGACATAAATGAAGTCCCTGAGTATCCCTTGAGGCTTCGACTCCCAAGAAGTAGCCAAGCTCACCAAGAGCTTTCAAAGCAAATTCTTGCTTAAGCTGAGTAACGAGATGTTGTATAGATGTAGAGCATGAGCCGGTGATGAGGAGATTATCAACATCTATCAACACAAAAATATGTACATCACCATGATGAAAGGTGAATAAGGAGGTATCAACGGGGGAACCCATGAAGCCAAAATCAAGCAAGCTATTTGATAGGCGAAGGAATCACGCTCTAGGTGCCTGTTTAAGGCCATAGAGAGCCTTTTTAAGGTGACAAACATGATCAGGAAACTGTAAATTGACAAATCCTCTTGGTTGGTCAATGTATACTTGCTCTTCAAGCTTTCCATGTAAGAAAGCATTTGAGACATCATACTGTAAGATAGGCCAGTAAAAAAATAGATAGAGCTAAAATAACCCTCACTGTTGCAGGTTTAATTACCGGACTAAAGGTCTCAGTAAAATCAACACCATTAATCTGTTGGAATCCCTTTGCCACCAGTCTAGCCTTAGAGCGATCCACACTTCCATCAGCCTTCTGTTTGATTTTGTATACTCATTTAGTGTGAATAATGGTGTGATCATAAGGACGAGGGATAAGATCCCAAGTATCATTGGCAATGAGTGCATCATATTCTTGTTGCATTGCCTGTTGCCATTTCTGTGATAAAATAGCTTGAGAAAAAGTGTTAGGTTCAACAGATTTAAACACACTGGTATACGCACAAAGTGGATGCTTGGTGGCATAGAAGAGATGGAAATCTGGAAATTGTTTGGGACGGAGAGATCCAGTTCTAGACCGAGTGATCATATGATGGTCAGAGAGGTTAGAATTTGCTGAGGATGAAGAACTAGTAGTGCTCGACAAAGAAGTGTTTGTCTCTGGTAAAGTTTACAGGTCAGTAGTTGGTCGAGATGATTGAGTTTCATCACGGATACATGGAGAGTTTTGCTCATAGGATAAGGATTGGCTTTCTGGTGAAGTTGGCAGGTCATTAGGTGGTCGGTAGGACTGAATATTGTCAGGGACAAATGGGGAGTTTTGCTCAGAAGATAAAGGCTGGCTTTCTGATGTTGATACAGGTGAAGGATCAAATTGCAATTGGGCATAAAAGGGAGTGAGATCAAATGACATACCGGTTCGAGAAACATCTGATACTATAGGAAGAGGAGATGAAGGCCATACCCTTGCTGGAAATGTATGCTCGTCAAAGGTAACACTGCGGGAGATATATATCTTATGAGTAATTGGATCAAGGCAACGATATCCATGATGATGTGAATAGTAGCCAAGGAACACGCATTGTTTGCTACAGAATGTAAGTTTATGAGGTGTGTAAGGTCTTAACAGAGGATAACAAGCACAACCAAATGTTCTTAAGAAAGAATAGTTAGGTTTTTGAGCAAACAACTTAAAATAAGGAGATATATTATCTAAGACTGGTGTAGGAGTTCGATTTATTAGATAAATTGCAGTAGTAAATGCATCAATCCTAAACCTTGTAGGTAAATGTGATTGAGCTAATAAAGAGAGTCCAACTTCCATAATATGTCTATGTTTCCTCTTAGCTAAACCATTTTGCTGAGAAGTGTGTGGGCATGAAAGGCGTTGATGAAAGCCACATTTACGAAGGAAGTCTTGAAATTGATTCGATAGGTATTCACCACCATTATCATATTGAAGTTGTTTGATCGTGTTTGAGAAACGATTTTCAACTAAGGCTTTAAAATGCACAAATGATGAAAAGACTTCAAATTTATTACGAAGTGGATAAACCCATGTAAAACGAGAGAAGTCATCTACAAACAAAACATAATATCTATGACCTTCACGAGACATAACTGGTGAAACCCAAACATCTGAATGGACAAGTTCTAAAGGACATAAAGTAACTTGAAAAGACTCGCCAAACGATAATTGTTTGGATTTTCCTAATAAACAAGATTGACAAATTGAATTAAAATTAAAGGACCCAAAATAGGCAAATTAAATGATTTGATTAATCTTTTTGTTATTTGTAAAGACGGATGTCCAAAACGTGCATGCCACACATCAAGGGTAGTGCGAACACCAATAAGAGCAACATTTGATCGAGTCTTATGAATTGATTTTAGATCAACTTGGATAGGGTATAGCCCTCCTTCACTCTCTCCTATTAGCAATGTTTTTCCCGTGTGGTTGTCCTTGACAAAGTAATGAGAATCAGTTATAATAAAGAAGCAATTGTTGTCAATACACAACTTATTTATCGACAAAAGGTTGGCTGCAGCTTGTGGACAGTGGAGAACATTTTTTAATTGAAGTGTAGATTTAGGTGTATGTAAGGAGAGTTTACCAGTATGTTTAATTTGCAAACCATTATCATTTCCCATTGCTACTTTGTCATCTCCTTGATATGGCTCAGTTAGATGAAGATTACCGATATCTGAAGTAACATGCTGGTTTGCGCCACTGTCAACATACCATGTGTTGTCACCGTGGAAGGAGTTGGAGTGTGCAACCATCGCTGCCAACTGTTGGGGTGGATGTCGCCCTTGATAGTTGTAATCATAGCGATGGAAACAATCCAATCCATGTGATTTTTCTTGCCACAAATTTGACAGGCATAGGGATCAAAGCTTGGATCATTAGCCTAGGCAGGTACTTGGACACCATTGTTTGGGACAACATTGCTTCCAGTGTGATCAGGTTTTTGTGTAGGAATTGGAGTAAGATTGGTGCGCTGTGGTGGCTGCCATTGGCAGTTGTTCCATTTTCCATTCTTTCCTCCACTGAGTTTATTTGCAACTATAGCAAAGTTTTTATGGTCAACTTGCACACTTCGCTGTTGAGTTTCAAGAAGGACCTCAAAATCAAAAAGCTCAGATTGAAAGTCAGTGAGGGATAGAGACTTCTCACATTGTGCAAAATAGCAGTTAGAGATAAAAGGTGTGTAGGCAATGCTAAGATCTCCAAGAATGTGGAAGATTAAATCTTCATCTTCAATCAGCCTGCCTACAGCCTCCAATTGATCTACAATATTTTTTGCACTTTTAACAAATTCCGAGCAGTTTTTACTCCTTGTTGCATGCTTTGAAGTTGGCGTTTCAATTGATTAACATTAGAGGTTGAGGGAGACGCAAAGCGATTTGCTAGAGCAAGCCATGCTAGTCGAGCGACCCTCATGCCATAGACCATAGAGAGAACCTTCTCTGAGATTGTAGACTTCATCCAAACCAAGACAATTTTATTTTTTTATGCCATAGGATGAAGTCAGGACTAGTTTCACGAGTATTTTTACCTGGAATATGAGATAAAAACTCTTCTGGGCACGGTTCAATACCATCCACGAAGCCAAGAAGATCATGAATACTAAGAGCACCTTCAATTTGAGAGGACCAGTTCAAGTAAGAGGCAGGTCCCTCGAGTCTCACAGAAACAAACTGTACTAGGTTGTTTGGTGGGACAAAGGTTGCAACGGAAGACGACATAGTTTTAACAGGACGGGCTTAAGCCAATCACACTCTGATCCCAAGAAAGAATTGCAGGAAAAGGATTTGGTCAATGTACCAAACCTATTGTATAACATGTATTATATAGAAGCTGTTGAGACATATAATTGGTAGTCTAATCTATACATAGAAGGATTAATAAAAAAGAACAGATATCAGTCATCTACAGGAATAATGCTGGAATTCCTATCTTGGCTTATCAATCACAGCACAATTAGTGTGATTTGCAGAATTAAGGGGATGTGATTCGTCTGGCATAACATAATGTTTATGGAATAAAAAAGATGGAAGTTGGCATGAAAAATCAAAACATGGCCGCAAATACAAACCATGCGACCACATGGTGTATTTAGTCATGCAGTTGCGTGGCCATATACCGAGCCCAAAAGACCTCGGCTTGAATAAACCATGTGACCGCATGGATTTGTACCATGCAGTCACATGGTACAAAAATTCGATCATTGAAGGTCGATTTTTTATCGTTGCAAGTTAGAATTTGATGGCTTTTATTGCATGTTTTGGCACCATTTCACATCTCTTGTCGTGGCCCATATACAGAGGAGCCATGTTCAAGGGTAAAAAGTAAGGAAAACACTTGATATTCATTCCAATTCAACAATCAAAGATCTTCTTCATTAATATTCATTCATTGTGTTCTTAAATTTTTGGAGGATTTTACTTTGTGCTTTGGTAAAATCCTTTACAAGGCTTGTTATAATCCTTCAAATCATATATCGGAATACCCTTAAGTATCTCATAAACTTCGGAGAGGGGACAAATAACGTATGAGAACTGCGATGCCGCGTTTGTGCCTTCAAAGCTGTTATTGACAATATTTATATTTTCTTCATCTCGTTGCTGCTATTATTGCGCCATTCCTTTTGTCTTCTCCTTCTCTTCATTATTTCCAACATATTTTCCAGTGAATTAAACTGAAAATCAAAGTTTTAGGAGAATGTAAAAGTTACTGCTACTTCTATTGGATAAGCACGGGTTACAAATAACAGAAAGAAAGAAGAAATAAATAAAATATGCAACGATGGAAAACTATATCATAATGTGAATAATGTAAGAACTAACTTAAAAGTTCAAATTATATAAGAATAATCTCATCCTCCAAGTCTACAAAAGTTGCTATTTCATCTCCAAGTATTCAGAAACCCCAATTTTGTCCTTGTACTAATCAAATGCCAAACTTTTTTCCCTAAAAATATTCTGAAGAAATAATTTCATTCTCCAATTTTTGGAATTGGCACTTACGCCACATAGAATCATTTCTCTCTTCAATCTCACCCTCTCATTTATAAGACCAGTTTTTATGCAAAATGCATTTAAAATTCATTTTTCAGACCATCAAAAATTCCCTTAAAAAGGCTCACATTATTATTATTATTATTATTATTATTATTATTATTATTATTATTATTATTATTATTATTATTATTATTATTATTATAAGCTCTATAGTTATATTAGAACATCTCCAACGCTTTCATAGTTTTCCTAAACATATTTGCCACATAAGCAAATAGAAAAGTTTTAAATTGAGTGGATTTTACCTATATGGATTATTTTAACAATAATCCAATTATTTACATATATTTTTAAAAATATTTTTATAGACCTAGAGTATATTCAAATTATTTACATGTATTTTTTGACATATTTTAACATACATAGAAATGGCATACGAGCTTTGATACGAATGATTTTGTAAGAAGTCTTACGTGCAAGAAACATCGATAATCTAATGTGGAAAATGGATATTATTCAGCCCATTATTAATAGAGGATACGTAGCAAGTTGTTAATGAATCGGAAAGAAATGTTCGGCCCAAATCAATTTTTAAATACGAGCAAAAATCGAAAAACGTTATGCGTAGGATCGACATAAGAGTCCAACTACATTGCATTGCAGAATGCATGTTGTATGTCTGAAAAAGTTTGACCTCCTTACTTCTCTTATATATACGCTGAACCCCTTTTCTCCTCGATCCATAGAGACAAAATGTAGGTGCCAACAGTTCATAGTGTAGACAAAGAGGATTATCGAGTTACAGTTCAAAGGAGGCTATAGAATGGTATAAGGACATCAGTGTTAAGAAATGTTTGAAAACACTTGTGCAAATTTCCAAAGGCTCATTTCGAAAGAAATCACGAGGGTACAAATTGAAAGGCCCAAAATACAAACACAAAAGTATTATAGACATGTTTATAAACACAAATTTCAAGGAATTGACAAATACTACAAATTTGTAGAGACAAAGAAATTTGATAACAGAATCCAACGTAAGGAGGACACATGATAGCAGAATTTAATTGCCTTTGTTTGGGAACACATCATTAGTTTCTATAAAGTTAGTTATTCTACTCAGTCGAAGTCAAATTTGAATTTCAAACAAATATTCAGAATGTAATAATCCATACAATTCGTGGTACTCGTCACTATTCCTCCTAAAACGTTACTAATGATCAAACCTGAACAGAGACAAATCTAATAAGTTGATTATTAATAACTAGACATCATAAGAAAAATAAATAGAAAATCAAAATATAAATATGTGTGTATAATAACAAGACACCCTAAACAACATATACCTAGAAAATCAAGATATACGTGAGTAATAATAAGACATCCTGAGCAACATATACATAGAAAATCGAGGTAGGTCTGAAAACCAAAATGAAAACAGTACATTGTACACCTAACAAACCATTAGGACAATGCAACAAACACCAGTACAAGAGTTCCATAAAAACCTCTACCCTCTCGTATACTTCTAATATCTATTCAAGGGTATCGTTTCCACAAGTTGTCCTCTCGATTGTTTCTGAACGCGCAGCATCCCACGGAGTAGACGATTATGAGAAAGACGAGGAATATGATGTTGATGACAGCAACCCTCTTCCAGTCACTCTTGATGTTATCCAGCAACCCAGCCTTGCATGATTGGCAGCTATAGCACAAGACATTAGGATCACTGCTCCATGTTCTGCAGTCTGGATTTGTTAACGATGATTGAGCGGTCCTAGTCCAGTTGGTCGGGCTAACGTACTGGAAGTTGCAGTCGTTTGATGGCTTGCAGCAACCAGACTGCAGAAATAATACAAGAATAATATCGGTAAGTTTAATAGAGAAGTCGGGTTTCCGTATACGAAAAGAAATGGATATATAACACTAAAGCGAAAACAGAATAACATATATCTACGCTGAAGTTCTGTTCATAGTGACATAAAGATTAGTCACGCATTAAGATCATACGAGCCCCCTAGTCAATATACGGAAAATGAAGACGAGCATCTATGCGGAGATATGGGGAATGAAGTAGCCAATGAAGGATAAAGCTCAATCAAGAAACCAATTTACGAGCTAATTTAAAAAGAATCCACTTTCTTAATAATTTTTGAACTCATTTTCATCACCCGTTCTCCAAAAAAACACCATTTCAAAATATATTTTCCTTCAAATTGTGGCTAAAAAGAAAAAAAACTATGTTATGAATAGTATTTATTGAGATTGCATGATTAAAAAGTAAGGAAAAGTGTTGGATTTACTTTAGAATATTTTATCGTGTGAATATATGGTTGAAAATGAGTATAAAAAATAAATTAAAGTAAAATAAAATAAGGGAATTAAACGGCGGCTAAGTTCAAATAGATCATAATGCAAGACAAATTAACCAAATTTTGAGCAAAAGCGATCAACCTCCCAACAACCATGGTGAAAAAGATATATTTAGACAGTTTTCAACTCATCAGAAATTACTTTAAAAGAAGGTGGAAGAAAGAAAGAACAAAATATTGTCTACAAATTAGATAAATTATCAAGATAAAAAGGAAATACAACATGAAACATGTTAGGAAGAAAAAAAGATATGCTTTATAGTAAATAATATGAACATCAAAGGAAAAAAATAAAAATAAATAACAATTAAGATGATATTTTAACCCAACAAAATGATATTCTTTCTTCACTGAAAAAGAGATCCTCTCCTTTTTCATACATAAGAATGTCAAAACTAGGCTAAAGTTCCCCAACTTTTTTTTAAAAGCGCTAGGTTTCAACAACAAAAGTAACAATTATAAACCCCCTAGTTATTGCTTAATTTTTAAAGAGAACTATGAATCTGCATACCAAAAATCAAAATACCCAAGAGCGAAACATCAAAAATAAGATATTGGTACCAAATATACTGCAAAATACGTATGTTGTCTTTACCTGAAGAGAAGAGAGCTGTTCCCTGTAAAAATCTTCAACACTGGTGGAGGACCCATCATCCAGCAGCCTCTGGCAGATCTTACTGTCCTGTAAACAACTCCTAATCTTGTTCCAATTCTTGTCACTGTTGACCCTTTTCTGCAGCCAATTGGAGTAATCCCCAAGCCTGTATTCCTTGTACCCTTTATCAGATAAGGACTCTCCGGCCCCTTTGTTTGTAACCACAAAAGCAAAGATTGTGAAGCAAAATAACAACACAATTAACAAGAACATGACAACGAGATAGATCCATAGAAGCCACGTAACTCTGCAACATGACCCCACTAAACCTGCCAATGAAACCAGCAGAATAAAAACTCCCAGAACGATTACGGGTATGTCTAGGAACCGTTCACACTCTGTGTTGGCTTGTTTCGAGAGCCATATGCCCCCTCCTATGATGGGAATTGAGAGCAAAAGTGTTATGAAATTGAGAATGCCCACCAAATTGTTACTCACACGTACCATTGTTTGTTTATCAGTTAACTTGATATCAGAGTTTTCAAGAAAGTAAATAGAGAATGACTCAAGAATATATCGAGTAAAAAAAAATCAAGAAGGCGGAGAATTCAAGATAATGAAGAAAAGTGGGGGTCAGATATTAGATGAAGAAGATGAGACTTTGTGTGATGATATGTATGCATACATGTGGTTGTATATAGAAGTAGGGATTAAGAAGGTTCAAAGCAATGACTATGAGGGGGAAGAAGAAGACGAAGAAACCGACCCCAGATGACGCGTGGCACGTGGGCTTATGTGAGTACAGTTGAAAAGTCTACTTGCTTTGTGATTGGAGGATAAGAATATCTATCTTTGGTTTTTAAACTATGTAAACGTGGGTCCCAGTTGCCGAACGACGCTCTACGTTGGCGTAACAGTCAAGTTTTATATAACCGTCTGCTGTGAACGGAACAGGATCTGTTTCTTTCTTTTTTGAAAATATATAATTTACTTTTATTTTTTTTCCCTTCTTCTACCTATTGAGTAATTGGAGGAAAATAAATTAATTCTCATTGTATTTTGTTCAGGACATTTATTCCATTTTTGTATACACTTTAAGATGCAAAACTGCTAACCACTTAGCAATAATGATTTTAATTAAGATTTGTTTAAATAAATACATTTTGAATTTTCTTTTTCGATCTCCAATTATTCAATAATTTTCAGTAATACAAATTTTACTTTTTATAGGCCGAAAAAAACTTATACAAAATAACACATCTTATTCTTTCTGATTTATTGGTTTTCGAATGAAAAATATAGATTTTGTTACCTCTCCAACGACCTCTCCATTATGCCGGATTTTAGTTTACCAAGCCTTATATATTGAGAAGAATCTAATTTAATTCGTAGCAGTTGATATTAATACCAATCGGTCATAAAAGAAATTTTTTGATAAACATTCTATCATAAATATTCTTATTTTTGTCATCTCAATTTGTTTCTATATATTATGGTTAACACGTTTAATTTTATCAATTTTAGTATGATCAAACATTTATCTTATCGTCTCAAATTCTTTTGTAAATTTTATCTTCTAATAGCTTAATAGTCATATCATTTGTAACAAAAATATCGAGATCTTTTTTAAAATAAATAAAAATCATTCAATGATCATTTCCATTGACAAAATCACAATATTCTACTTTAATTACCTCAAAATGTCAAAAAAGAAAGTATATAAATTATGGGAAAATTACCTCAAACCCTATTATGCAAGATTCAATTTCACAAATCAAGTGCTCTTAAATTTCTTTCAAAATCAAAGCCATCCCATCCCACCCCCAGCAAACAACGACAAAAATTCCCTAATTTTAGGGAACCTCTCATGGAAGAATTTCATCGGTGTTGGATTAGGTGATGAAAGAGATGGAACCAGCGTGGTTTTATCAAATTTTAAATGATGGGTGGTTTTTTATTAGATCTTTTGTTTAATCAGAGTTTTGGGATGATTGTTGGTGTTTTGCAGTATCGATGATTTTTTAATCTGTGGTGATCCTGTTTCTGGTGGTGGTGTAGGCTGTGATGGTTCTATAATCGACTGTGACTTGAGACTGACCTAATCATAGAAAGTCATACTAAATACAATTTTGGCCACAGTTAGTCACACCGAAGATAAAGTTGGTCACGGTTAATTACAGTTCTGCAGTGTGTGCTGATTTGTTTGTGGTGACCCTATGTGATCAAGTATGTGTTTGTTGTGACCAATTTTGTGTTGATTGGGATCAGTTGTGATTTGACATTGATTTGGTCATAGACAGTCACACTGAATACAAATTTGGTCACAGTTAATCACATCGAAAAAAAAGTTGGTCACAAGCATTTGAGTGGTCATTGGAGCATTTTGTCGAAGTGATCGTCGAATAGCCGTCGAAGCGGGCGTTGGAGTGATTGCCAAAATAGTCGTCTGAGCAGCCGCCAAAGTGATCGTCGACGCGACCACCGAAGTGATCATCGGAATGGCCGCAAGAGTGACCACCGGAGCTGATGGCCTTCTCCGGTGGAGAGATGGAGGGAACGTAGTTTAATGGGGTGATAGGATAGGTTGGGTGAGGTGGCGTGGCGTGGCATGGGTAAAAATAATTAATATATATTATATTATATTATATTATATTTTAATATTTAATAAATTTATTTATCACCTGATTTTTGAAATATTTTAATATATTTGTTATTAATGGAAAATGCCAGAAATGAAATGCAAATAAAACGGCTGTCATCGTGTAGAAGCGGTTACGGCCACGGATTTGGTGGGACGTGTCGTAACAGTCAACTGCTTATTTCTTTTAAGTTTTCAACGTAAACTGATTTTTAGTTGATAACGCGTTGCGTGCTTTTTCTGCGTTTTGCGCTTACGTTAGCTACTCAATTACACAAATATTGTGATTGCGACCTTTAAAATAATGTTCAAATTGATTACTACTTAATAATCACATCTCCTTTGACCAAATGCAAGAATACATAAATTTAAGCACGTGTGTGGAATAGATTAAAAAATTATTTAAACATTATATTAAATTATTTTTTAATTATGTATTTTAGGATAATTATCACAAAACGTCCCTATATTTCAATGTGATTGTACAAAACGTCCTTACATTTCATTTTTTGACATTTTCATTCCTACTTTCTCCTTTTTACTACAGAAAATGTCATTTTCTCAATTAAAAAATGTAATGAAATATGAAAATAAAGGCAAAAATGTCAAAAAAATGAAAGGTGAGAACGTTTTGCACAATAATAATGAAAATTATAGACGTTTTATGCTAATTACCTTTTTAATAATTTATTTGGACCCGTTAGAAATTTTTAAAAAAATTTGAGAGTATAATTGCAATTTGTTCTTTTTTTATCTTTCTTTTCTTCTCTTTTTGTTTTGTTTACATAGAGAAGTATATTTGTCGTTTTACATTTTTTATTGAGAAACCGACATTTTTCGCAACGAAATGTGAAAATAGGAATGAAAATGACAAAAAATGGAAGATATGGACATTTTGCATAATAACGTTGAAAGTAAGAATATTTTGTGCTAATTACTCCATATTTTACAATATTCACAATTTTTATCAATTTATCACCCGAATCTTTGGCAAACATTATCCAATGTGAAATCTTCCAAGTCACCACCTCATCTAGAGCACTTTCGAACTGATATGAAAACTTACTGACCTTAAACAAGGAAAAAAAATAATTTTTTCACTCTTTCGTGTCTTAAATGTGCAAGCTCCCGTTTGGCCCAATTTTTTAAAAGTCGTTTTGAACTATACATTTTATTATACTCACAAATTTATCAACTTTTTATTCATACACTTCGTCAACTTTTATCAAAATTATTAAAAATTAATTTTTAGCCAAATCTTAGGGGGCCAATTAAACAAAGCTTAAAAAGTTATTTGTTCTCTTTTACCCATGCTTAACCTCTATTATTTAAAAACTCTTTTTTCCTTGAATTCGTTTTGAACCACAGATTCTCTCAATAAAATATTTTTACACATAAACTCAAAACTTTTCTCCACTTTTTAACCTATGTTTGACCCCCATATTTTTCAAAAACTTATTTTCAATTACACATTCTTCCATAAAATAATTTTACACAGTAATTGAAAAATTTTCTTTCCTTTTTAACCACACATTCTATAAATAAATCACTATTTCAAAATACTTTTTCTTACCAAAATGGGACTCAAACAGGGACTTAACTACCCATTTTCCAAAAATCCACTATTTCTTTCATCTTATTTATATAGACTGGTTTTATTTTTCACATGGATTAAAAAATTTGTTGCGTAATTGTCTCAAAAGCCAAAAGTTAGAGGACCTCTATTGCAAATAATAAAAGATAGTTATTGTATAGAAGACTTCTAATTAAAGTTAAGATCAGAATCCTTGCAAAATTTAGTCTCCTATTTACAACCGATTTTGGAATCTTGCAAATGAAGGTATTCTTGTTGAGTTAAAAAAGGCTTGTTTGAATTTAAATTAAACTCTTCTACTTCGTTATTGATCCTATAAATAGTGGATGTATTTCATTATTTTGGTTGTGGCCAGAGAGTTGATTTGAGATAAAAATATTGTGAGACTAGTATCCAAAAACTTTTCTTATATTGGGTAGAAAAGTAAGTGTTATAAAATTCGAATTTATTTTTTTCTTTGTAATACTTTGGGATTGGGTTGGTGAGTGAAATTTTTTTCATATAATGAAAAGCTTTGATGGTCCTTTTAATTTGCGTGTTATATTCTTTATTTTTCTTGTTTGTTAATATTTTTCTGAACAACAAAAGATTCTGCAGGTAAATAGAAATAAAGGAAATTGACGTGAAATTTCCCAACAAAATCTTATCTAATGTTATTGAAAAAGGCAAATCAAAAAAATTTCCTACATTTTTTAACACATTCTCCCCAAAAAAAGGGAAAAAAAAAAAGCATTAATCCATTTTTCTTACTAAAATGAGACTCAAATAGGGACTCAACCACTCATTCTCCAAAAAATCATTACTCTCTCCACCTCATTTATATAAGCTAATTTTGATTTTCACATGGATTAAGAAATCTTATTTAATGTTATTAAAAAAGCAATTTTTGTCAAAAACATTTATAGTCTACCATTATTTATATTTGTATAATTTCAAGATTAAGTAGGAAAAATTGTTTAGAACTAGGCAAATTAAATAATAACATATTAGTAAACGAACAAAATAAAACATTCTCAATAAAAAAAGAACCATATATATATATAATGATCTGCCCAAATAAATGGAACGGAGAGAGTATTACAAAATCTATTTTTTAGGAAACGAAGCACATATGTACCCTTAATATATTCATACTAAACTATCTCATAAAAATAAGTTACTTGTCTTGAAGCTAACAATTAATCCAATAACTTAAAAAAATAATAATAAATAAATAAATAAAAGTTACCTCATGCTTCCTTTGGATTGATGGAGGATAACTAAAATTTTAAAGCAAAAGCACTCATTGATTCTACTGAATATTAAACTAATAATTTGCCCATACCAATCGACTCTCCACCATGACAAGGCAATCATTATACTCCATACGCTTAAATAATTTAGGGTATAGAAATTAGCCGAAATGAATCAACCATAGTGAAGATGAACGTTGGCAACCCTCAAATTTGTAATATTGGGTATTCCAGTGCTTGATGCTAGCTTCTTTCCATTGAGTGCAGTCTTCCTCCATTGTTGGCGACTGCCATGCTCATCGGAAGTTGGAACTTTTTGATTCAGCAGCAGAAGGAAATAATATCCAAACTGCCAAGAAACTTAATAAGATCCTATTCATTCTTGATGGAGATTGAAAAAATTTACCGATCTCAAAAATTTTTGATCCTCTCAACTTATATAGTGCACTTATTTATGTCTGCCATAAATTACTTGTATTTCTTACATTAGAAAGAATCCCTCCAACTTTTAATGTTGTCTTTGTTGAACTCCTTATTTTTGCCTAACATTTCCTTTGGTGGTAGGGATGGCAACGGTTCGATTCGACTAAAATCATCACCAAATCGTCAAATTTTTTGCCATACCATAACCACATAAATCGGATCGGTTCGATTCAATTAATAACCATGAAAATAAATTATTTTTTATAGATCCATCTGTCAAATGGATATAAAACAATTTATGAGAAGAGAGCCAATGAAAATAAAAACACAATATTCCAAACGAAAATGCAAACATTATCTCAAATTTCAATTGCAGAATAAAATTTATCAAACAATATTATGAATATAACAATATTAAACTTTTCCTTCATTCTTGATTCTTGTGTATTGTAGTTACTTGATTCATGTTCAATAATTCAAAAGCTTCAACCTTAACTCATATTCAATCTTCATTCTTCCCCACAACTCTTACTATCATAGGTCAGCACTCAAAATTGATTCCTATATAGTAAATAAGAAATGTAAGTAAAAAATACAACGATACTACCTAATCCAGAATAGTTTTAACTGAAATTTAAATAAAAAAATGTACCTCTTGATTAATTTCCTTATCACTAAATCTTGCTATCCCTAATAAAACAATGATTTTTTTTTAAAATGGGTAATCGGTTCAATTTTGGTTCGACTGCAAAAATACCATACCCGCACTGCCACGAACTAGTTCATTAAAATCAAATACCATAACCGCCCCCATTGCACCATCGGTTCGATTTTTTTCATCACATTCGGTTCGGTTAATCACGATTTTCGATCTTAACGGTTTAAATTGCCAATCCCTATTTGGTGGAGAAGCAATGAAATCAAAAGAAGGTGTTCTTTTGATTTACAAGTTACTGATAAAATCCCATGACAAGGAAAACTCATATCATCCTTCAACAAATTACAAAATTAATTATGTAAAACTGAAATAACCAAATATTCGATGTTAAGAGACTGGGTCACTAGGCCCCAAAACAAATAGATAGACAGAAAGGCACCTCCCAAAGAAAAACCACAAATTCTTTATGTAGCAATCAAACAAATGATATGGATGAACATTTGAAAAAAAGTCGGAACTCCGCAAAAAGCTTGTCTTGGCCAAAGATTTGCCTTATTAATCTTTAATAACCTGATAAAAGCTTCAAATGGAAAGGTAAATGCAGAACGAAGTACCAATGGATGCCTTGATTCTTGACATGGCTTTGCATTATAGCGGCCCTGGGAATGTTCCACTCTCCCTCTGCTCGTTCCACTTCTCAACCTGCAATAACCAAAAACGTCAACAAAATTGAACAGACAATGACAATTGCTGATAACTTCATATAAAACTAGTAGTAGATCAAGGGAAGTGAAATATTCGGAAAAAACAAGGGAATACTTTTACATTATTCAGCCCCAAAGATGAAGGACGAGATCCATGGGTAGACCATTGAAACATTAATTGAAAGCATTTCATGGATTAAATTCATATCAAAACAAGTCAACTGCCAACTATCGGAGTATCATAACCATGCTAAAAGCATAGCCCAGAAAGAATGGATTGTCACTTGATTTTACAACTTCCGAGAACCTCAAATAACCAAAGAACAGAAAGATTAACAACTCAAGAATTTCATGTGAATCATGTAGGAAGTTACCATCACAAGACAAGCCAAAAATAATAATAATAATCTTTAGGGTCTGCATTAACTAAAACTGCCTCTTCCTTTACAAAAAAGTAGATTCGTGCCCCTTTACTTTCTATAAGATTAGTAAATCCCAAAAAAAGCCTTTTCTAATGTAATGTAACAGAAGGCAGTCAATTCCTATATTACCTTAAAGCAAGATGTAGTGTGTTTCCTAACTCACACAGCACAGCACGGCAATCAATTATTTATTTTGGTATCCTGTTTTAATCTGTCATATATCACGAATGACAATCTCATGGTCCTTCAATGCACTTTACGTAAAAATAAAATAAAAAATAAATCAGCAAATAGCAAAATCCAAGCTTCAGGATCTTTGCACTTGGCCCACTCTAAACTTAAAAGGAACCATATCAGTTACGATCCTTGGCGGTTAACATTTTCCTTTGATGCAACAAAAGGAAAAAAGAAGACAAAAAAGGAAAATGAAACAATCATCTTTCATAGTCATGTAAGGAAAAGATCCATATTTTGAGGTGAAGTCTTGAGCTAAAAAAAATACTTTACATAAAAAAAAAAAAATAATTCTTCCTTATTTCGATATCTTAAAAATTACCTAACTTGTAAATATTGCTCAAATATACCAACCCTACACAAACACAATTCTGAATTTCTTTTAAAGGAGATCTTCATATTCAGAACACAAATTATGCAATAATCAGTAGGACCAATTGTGAAACATGGGTTACTTGTCTTTGTGCGTGCATGTAGCAATATTTGCATATATTTATCATAACACCAAAAGAACCAAAATTGTAAAATCATATTGCGTCAATTGTAAAATCATATTGTCTAAGGAAATCGACCAAGTAGCATTTCAACTCACCCATTCGCCCGGGCAAAGGGAACGATAGTACTTGGCAAATTTTCCACAATCACCAGATTCTTCTCCCTTAGCAGCTACACACCTGACAATAAAGATGTAGTTAATTAGTTCAGGGTCAGGGTCAGGGTAAAGAAAAATTATAGTATTTTTTCCAGAATCATGGCTCAACTTTAGCTTCCTATTAAGTTTTTCCACCCTTGCAGTTATATTTAACGATCAAAAGTTGCAGCCTATATCTAATTTTAGGGCATCCTATCGTGTCCACAGCTGAAAGTAAATAACACCACACGAAATAATCCTAAACTCATCCTATCAACCTTGCTCATGAAACAACATGCTGCTGCTACCACAATCCCCAAAAAGACATAACTAAAAGCTGGATATTAACATTTTAAACTTAGACAAGGCATATTAAACAGCCACACATAACTTCTGCTGGAGCAAAGAGTTATTTCATTTGACACAAAATCCATAAATTTTGTTTCAAGCTTCCAAAGTGATAGTGTTTGCTCTAACCATTTGTATGGCTCATTCATGAATGCGGGTTTGCTTCCAACTTGTAAAAATAAGATAGATAATCAATTAAATAAAACATATACTGACATTGATGGAAGCCAAATATAATCTACAGAACATACATTGTCACTTATATGCTAGCCTTGGTAGAATACAATTTACAACTCAAATAAACCAGAAATGCTAAGAAAACATCAGGTAGACTCATCATTTATCCAATGTAATTTTTATCCATTTCATGTCATATTTAGTCACAATTAGCGACTTAGGCCGATTAAACAGTTTGGTAGCACACCGTCAAAAGGTAACAGCCCATCAAAGTATTGCATCCTCGTAGCAAGAAATGAATGTCATGTCAAGGAAAAAAAAATGAATTTTTTTTTTTAGACTTTACCTGTGAAACTCAATGTAGCGTGTGAAACAGTGTCGAGTTTGGTTGGTTGTTGGGAATCGAAAATCAGCTGGAGCAGTTTTAAGTTCAATCTGATAATAAAGTTCAAACAGACGAAAACAAAAATCCTGAATGAGAAGGGGCAGTAATAATTCCAAAATTAAAATTCTACGATTTAACATCATATCTCACTCAACCCTAAATCAAACGCAACCGTACAGGACCGACATGGAAAAGAAGGGGATGAATTCATCGAGCAAACCAATACAAATTTGAGGCAAAAATATGTAAAATAAAACAAATGTATCGAACTACAAGGCTGAGATATATAAGTATTCAGAAATAAATGACACATAAAAGGATTAATAGTAATTTAGCCATCTAATTTCATTAATCACTGAAAGGAGGAAAATAAAAATACAGAACAGGATGCTTTGAAACATTTACAGAATTATGCTTTGAAATGAAAAATCTAGACGCATACAAGAAAAATAAACGACGGGAATTAAAACATGAAAATTTTTGCAGCGAATTTTACCTCGGCCATTGAAGATGTAAATCGACAAGAGAAAGCCCTTCGAATCGCAGAAAGTAAAAAGTCGGTAACTTGTGTATTTGTTTGGAAATTACTAAACAAATAAAAAGTGTCAATTGATAGAAATTACTGTCCGGTTCGTGCAGTGACCAATGAGGAATCCCCAATGCCTTTCTTCTTTCGAATTTTTGGAAAAAAAATATATAAATTGTTGAAACAATAATGTGATAAAAATGAGAAGTAGATAATTGTTATGCATCCTACAAAATACGCTATTATATTTAATTTTTAATTTTAATCATTAAATTATAAAGACATTATAACATTTCTCAAACATGCATGAACCTTGAAGGTTTCATAATTACTCATTATTATTTAGCTAAAATCTATATATATCTTTTCACTAGATTTGAAATGGTCTTTTTTCTTTTCTTTTCTTCTTTTTTTTTTTTAAAAATTTTCGTTCTTTTCCTTTTTGCATAAATTTTACAACTCTATAAGATTTTTCAAAATTAACTTTATTATGTAAAGAAAAAGAGCGAAATTAATTAAAAATGTTGACTAGAATAAGGAAAAGAAAAATAATCCAAACTTGGGATCTTATTCAATTCTAACTTTATAGTGCTTATTGGAATTATAATAAGAAGAATTTAATTTATTAAATTAAACATAAAGTGAATGTTCAAATACTGTAAATTAAAATTAATGACCAAAATAAAGGAAGAACAATTATTCATCCATCTATAATATTTAAAAACGAAGAAATGAGAAGAAACTTTTGAAAAATAATAATACCCTCGTTGATTTTGTGTAATTCCCAATTCATCTTTCAATTATTATTGGAATTTAAATAATTTTATAATTTTATTTAGCTCTCACTAGGGTTGCACGTAAATGTTGGAATTTTTTCAAATAATTAACCAAAAATTAGAAAATGAAAAGGTGTGTAAAAGTGGAAAATGAAAAAGTGTGACTACGTATCAGATCAAATATTCGAATTTGATTCGATGGTCAAATTATTAAAATAAATAGACCAACTTATTCTATTCGTCGAGTAGATCGTCGTGGTATATTTGGAATCTCAAAACTAATTCCGGATGAATGAGAAATTGCGGACCAAAGTTGGAAGAAATGAAGTGTTGCAACTTTTCGAAAGGATGCAAGTTTTGGCCAAGTGTTGCAATTTTTTGAAAGGATGCATGTTTTGGCCTACACTACTTCATTTGTACCATTTCTACATCTATAAATAGAACCCTATGGACGTGATTTTGGGTACACCAATTGCATTGAGCATTCATTCTCCTCTTGCAATTCTCTCATTTCTAATTCCATAACATTTTCATGCATTTTCTTGATAGGGAGGAAATTCCGTTCGATCGCTGGTCGAAGTCATTTGGAGTGCTCCTATGGTTTGACATGGTTATTGTATTTTGGGAGATGATTGTCGGAAAACCGTTAGCACCGATATGGGGCAAATTCATTTTAAGGAAAGAGTTATACTCACCTCGACCAATCGCATCGCTTACATTTAATTTTTTCCGATTTCATTTCTACTTGATTTTAGAAAATGATTAATTTTATTTATATAATTTATGCGAGGTCCGATATGAAGAATTACATGTTTTAATTCAAGAATGGAAATGGGTTAGTTTCTCAAACTCCATTTCGGTAAGTCGAAACCTTGTTTTGATTTCGTGAATATAAACGGTATATTTTTTGTGAATATAATATGCACATAATCGGTATAAATTTCCCCAACAATTTTAAGATGAATTTTGTTGATTTTCTCGTGCATTTTATATTTACGTTCTTGAAAATTATATAGCGTGCAATTCTGAAAATTGTATATAAACACGTGGATATGTAAACAGATAATTGGTTAAGCACTTAAATTAATGGTATATATGATATTCCAAATTATTGTACTTGCCAAAATTGTGATACCAATTGGAAAGTTGGCAGTGTTAATTTGCTGGCATCTTTTAATTAAACAAGTGGTTTTGTGCATGAGGAATCTTGATTGAGTGTTTGGCACTCATATTGATAGTTTTGTTCTCCATGAAACAGAATTCGTGCAAAAATAATTGGAGCCAGAATGTCTTAATATATTCTGATGAATTAAATAAAATATGCATGTTGTTGAAGGATGTATCTTTCCACATTTCTAAAATGGCATGAATTGGTCTTTTACCTTAAGTTGTGTTACCAAATAAAATTGCCTTGCATACGAACGAGTGCTTACATGAAAAGATGCATATTTAATGAATAAGTTACTGGTTTGACGATATTAAATAAATTACATGAAGGGTTGCTTCAATTTATTTAGTAATTAATTACTTGTGCAATTGTGAATTCAATCATATTATAATTGCCTCAATTAAAAGTAGCCAATTATTATATGATGTCCATTCATTTAGAATATGATATATAATTGTTAGTGCATGGCTGCTGAACCAGTACGTTTCTTTCGAAGATGGTTTATTTTTGAACAAGTGAATGGAGTTCTAAAAGCAATTTACTGATGGCGACAAAATATGAAAATGCGTGGACCTCATCCATGAGACATTTTATAGAATAAACTTATACAAATGAATGTATAAATATTTGAAATATATGTTGCTATTCCTACACTTTGTTCATGATGAATTGGATATCATTAAAAAGAACTCGAGTCCAATAATGAATGGATGGAAATAAGGAAATTATTCCTAACCATTGAATTTATAAGAATGTCAATTATTTGAGGAAAGTATATGAACTTTCATGACGATTCCTTTGATTGGAATATGATAATGACATGGTAAATTAGTTGGTTAAAATTTCATATCTTATTGAAATTATACTAACTTTGACTATGGTGATAGCCTCAATTAATTTCATAAAATTAAGTGGATATCATTATTTAGTAATGAGAATTAAGCCATATAATTATTTGAAATCATAGAAAATTTTGCATGGAAAGATGTGTCTTTTCATATGGAGAATCATGACTTTTGGTATGATTATTTTTCAATGGGTGTGTCTCTTCATAAAGATTAATTCAAGAGGTGTGTCCTTTTATAGGATTGTATCTCTTGAAGAACACAACTTTTCAACTTATAGTTGATTCGTTCGTTCAAGTTTGAATATGATGAATAAAGTGAATATGTACCTTATTATTTGACATAAAATGAAACTATCATGTGAAATGTCACAAATGTGATAAGTTGCATATCTTGCAATGCTTAGCCCTTTTTATTGTTGAATTTGACTTCAATCATAAAATCAATTAAGTTGGTATATGTTTTGAAAGCATTGTTGGTCTATGTGATGGCCTTGATTTAATTTGAATGATCAAAATTAGCTAGATTGAAGTACGTTATATGCAAGTTGACGACCACTATTTTGAAAATAAATAGACTTTCACGAAGCACTCAATACGAATATTATTTAAGAGATAAATGAATAGAACTATAAAAGAGTTGCTGAATTCTAAGTTCAAGTATAACCCCAAGAATGTGGGGGGTTAAATTTAATGCTTGTGAACTTGAAATGGAAAGTTCAAAACTTGTGGATGCAACATTACTCGATTGCATATGTATTCCCAATTGAGGAATTGTGGGGATAACTCGATTTAACAGTTACATTTACTTTTATCTTATAATCATAGAAAGATATCTATGAAGGTGGAAAGATAGAAAACCCTTATACTAATTATAAGGATGATATATACTAAGTCTAAAGTGGATGAAATGGGTTGTAAAGCTGATTATGGCGTTTGTTTAGACATGCAAGAACAATTGGAATATATGAAGAATATTCATAAAGTTCAAATGCAAGGTAATGTTTCAATGATAATATTGAATACCCATGATTTTGAAATCCACTAGTAAAAGTGATTGACTAGTATAGTGTTTGATAGAAATCCTCCAACCGTGTTTGAAAATTGATAAAGCTTTAAATAAAGCTAATGAGGCATATAGCTTCATGAGAAGATTCCTTGGTGGCGACAATTTGCATCTATTAAATAAATCGATCGTTAGCTAGCTATATTTGATAAGATACTAAGTCACATGTAATGGTAGATCTAGACGTATAAATCATAGACATAATACCATTAAACAGTTGATTTCAATGGTATAAACCCATAATACCTTTAAAAGAGATTTACTAAGAGAGATCAAGAAGACTGCATATCGAAGGGAATGAGATTGAAGCCTACTACGTTAAAGTCCTTGTAATGGTAACCCTACCTTGTTGACTGGAGATTCCAAGATCTTGGTTCAAAGGGACAACTAAGTTATGAGATTTCCATGAAGTACTAAGGAAAATAATTTCCTAACTCATTCCTATGACATTAAAGTGCTTTCTGCTGAGTTGCAAAAGGTTAAGATAATCTTTTAATGATTCCTATATCTTGATTAAGTCAAGTGGAGTAAGGCAGAATACTCTTAATAGGAGGTCATCTATGTGAGTGTGAAGTGGAGCCGCTTCAATGAGACTTATTCAAGGCTTGAATTCTTTAAGCACTCGCAGGACCAAGATGGGTTCAGGGCCAAAATTAACCAAGTTACGAGAACCATGAACGGTTTAGGAAAAACATCTGTGTGAGCATCGTTGCCTTGGCTTACACTAAAGGCTGAATGGTTTAAGACATCACGTTCACCAATTAGCTGAGTAAGTTCGATGGTATTTCACTAAGGGAGGTTCAAGGCCAGAAGCTACCTTTCCCTGATGCAGTAGATTTTCGCACCCTCTCTACATTGCATCATATCATCACATTTGCATATGCGTACCCAATTTCCATTCAGGTGGGGGATTGTTGGAATTTGTTCAAATAATTAACCAAAAATTAGAAAATGAAAAGGTGTGTAAAAGTGGAAAATGAAAAGGTGTGACTACGTGTCAACTTCGATCAAATATTCGGACTTGATCCAATGGTCAAATTATAAAAGTAAATAGACCAACTTATTCTATTCGTCAAGTAGATCGTCGTGGTATATTTGGAATCTCAAAATCAATTCCGGATGAATGAGAAATTGCGGACCAAAATTGGAAGAAATGAAATGTTGCAACTTTTCGAAAGGATACAGATTTTGGCCAAGTGTTGCAACTTTTTGAAAGGATGCGTGTTTTGGCCCACACTACTTCATTTGCACCCTTTCTACAACTATAAAT